ATGTACCACATCGTCACTACACATGGACAAAATGTACCGCATCATCACTACACAAGGACAAAATATACCATGTCGTAAATACACAAGGACAAAATGTTCCGCATCGTCAATACATAAGGACAAATGTATCGTGTCGTAAATACACATGGACAAAATGTACCGCTTTTTCACTACTCAAGGACAAAATGTACCGTGTCGTAAATACACAAGGACAAAATGTAACGCATCGTCACTACACAAGGACAAAATGTACCATGTAGTAAATACACAAGGACAAAATGTACCATGTCGTTAATACACAAGGACAAATGTACCATGTCGTAAATACACAAGGACAAAATGTACCTTGTCGTTAATACACAAGGACAAAATGTACCGCATCATCACTACACAAGGACAAATGTGCCATGTCGTAAATACCCAAGGACAAAATGTACCGTGTCGTAAATACACAAGGACAAAATGTACCACATCGTCACTACACAAGGACAAAATGTACCGCATCATCACTACATAAGGACATAATGTACCATGTCGTAAATACACAAGGACAAAATGTACCACATCGTCACTACACAAGGATTAAATGTACCATGTCGTAAATACACAAGGACAAAATGTACCACATCATCACAACACATGGACAAAATGTACCGCATCATGACTACACAAGGACAAAATTTACCATGTCGTAAATACACAATAACAAAATGTTCCGCATCGTCAATACATAAGGACAAATGTATCGTGTCGTAAATACACATGGACAAAATGTACCGTATCATCACTACACAAGGACAAAATGTACCATTTCGTAAATACACAAGGACAAAATGTACCGCATCGTCAATACACAAGGACAAAATGTACCATGTCGTAAATACACAAGGACAAAATGTACCGTGTCGTTAATACACAAGGACAAAATGTACCATGTCGTAAAAACACAAGGACAAAATGTACCATGTCGTCACTACACAAGGACAAAATGTACCGTGTCGTAAATACACAAGGACAAAATGTACCATGTCGTAAATACACAAGGACAAAATGTACCGCATCGTCAATACACAAGGACAAATGTACCGTGTCGTAAATACACAATAACACAATGTACCGCATCATCAATACACAGGGACAAAATGTACCGCTTCGTCAATTCACAAGGACAAAATGTACAGAAAATGTACCGTATCGTCACAACACAAGGACAAAATGTACCGTGTCGTAAATACACAATAACAAAATGTACCGCATCGTCAATACACAAGGACAAATGTACCGTGTCGTAAATACACAATAACACAATGTGCCGCATCATCAATACACAGGGACAAAATGTACCGCTTCGTCAATTCACAAGGACAAATGTACCATGTCGTAAATACACAAGGACAAAATGTACCGTATATCACTAAGCTAGGACAAATGTTACCTCATAGTAAATACACAAAGACAAACGTTATCACATGGTCAATAATTAAAGTAAAGTATACTTCATAGTCAGCAAACAAGAGCAAAATATTAGCTCATTGTCGATACAAAATGTGCGCTATTATCAATTCACAATGACAAAATATATCACGCCATCATTAATTACACAAGGACAAAATCTACCAATGGACGAGGAGAAATTCAAATACATGGTCCAAACTGCCAATATACATAGACGAATCTGAACTCATTGTAGATACAAAAGTACCACATCGTCAACACAGAAGTTCAAAATGCGAAATTTTGTTTATACAAAGTGTACTACATCGTCAACGAACAAAGACAAAGTGTACCACATCGCCAATACACCGTGACTAAATACGAACCCGTAATAGAAATAATGGGACAGGAATCAAGGAGACACCAAATCAAAGAGCATACATTACAACGACCCATGAAAACGGAGGTGGATTTAATATTTCGAAGGGGAGGCTTTTACTGTACTTAAAAAACAAGATATTCCGAAGGGTGAGCGTATCCTGTACAATAGTTATCTAGAATTTAAACGGGTGCGCGTTTCCCTGTACGAGAGAAACTGTGTTTTCCAAAGTGAAAACATTTCCTAGACTAGAGCAATAGAGCGACTAGGTGCTCTGATGGGTACACGTTTTCAGTACTTTATAAACTAAGTGTTCTTAGTGGTACGCGTTCCTGTATTAGAGAAACCAGGTGTTCCGAAGGGTTCGCGTTTCCTGTACTAGAGAAACCAGGTGTTCCGAAGGGTTTGCGTTCCCTGTACTAGAGTAACTAGGTGTTCCAACAAGATTATTGACATTGCTACCTAGACACATCACTGTTTGAGTACAGACAGTTAACACTTATTATGACGTACATCAGAGATCATATAAGTGAAAATATTTGATCTATTTTTCAAAGGCATCAGGAGCCCAACACTTGTTAATGAAGGTGTTGCGGACGAGTTTGAAATGTTTCCAGAGCCGCGGGTATCGATTGTGATGACTCCTGTGAAATCAGTATGTCGGTCACAAACGATCTGATGGACATGTTCTTCATTACGACAGGTATTGTTTCTGTGTTTCTCTAACATTGTCGTATCGACTATAATAAAGGATCCCCTTACCACTACCAAGAACTGTGACTAACTACTGTTAACAGGTTTTTTCTGACATAACAATAGCTTTTATCATTTCCAAAACAAAAACAAAGCAATACCTTGTAGCACTTTTGAAATAGTTTCGGTTGTAAAATTCAGCGAACACTGGACTTCCGGCTGATACCTACTACATTGTACATGTATTTCTCTAACAGACTGAGCAACCAGGTTGATACAGTTATATCTAAACGGAAGTAGGGGGAGGTAACTATATAGCAAAAACACAATGTAATGGGGCAGGGATCCTTTATTGAAGTCACATTCTTATCATTCGGTATACCAAGTTTATCATTATAAGGGAATACTTGCACTCTAATGAGAACTATTTTTAGAGTTTGGTAATGAAGTACAGGTCTATATTGTATTGAACTCCAATAACTTAACAAACATGTCAAACAACAGTTAATTTCAGTTTCAAAGATCATCAGTTTTATCGTCATTTTGACCTGATGGTGATATCTTGAGATCCAAAGAACATGTAGGTTTTTACTTTATTTTACGTTGAAATTATTTCGAAAATATATCAGATAGATAGATGCTACGAACAATATAGTGTATCTCATTTCACGTTAGTAAACACTCAAGGCTAGCAACATTGTCGTTCGATATCACGAGATTCTATAAAGGCACAAAGATAAACATCATACGCGTTATTCATATCAGAATATGTAACGTACATAACAGCTCTTCCTGCCATTGATTTCATATACACAAACAATATACTATGAAGTGCCATGCATAAGCCATAGAAAATGAGCCTGATCGTCGTACGTTATCATTAATCACCAAGCATCGGCAGATGGTCTATAAACCCGACTTAAAACGCTTGGCTGCAGACAACAACATATGGTGACTATTTTATTTGTTTGTATTAGTTTATTCCTTTCTGGTTGGAAAATATGTACATAACATGTATTTTGCGATGAAACAATGGCAGTACCTGTAAACCTGTATATACGTGTACTATCATATATCTACGCAAACCATGTATACTGTCAAGTGTCCCTTTCAACTCTGTTGGGTCGGTAACTCACGGAACATATTACTGAGGTAAAACTTTCCCAAAACACTGGAAAGTTCATTAGCTCTAACTAATTCTTCAACAGGAGAGAAGTAACTTCACGCAGTAGATAATCCACGTTTTTTGTTTTCTTGCAAATTGTGCGACAAAAACTCCATTCCTCCAAAATATAAGCACTATACAGCAGCCATTCAATTAAAATTATTTCTTATTTTATGTTAATTATTATGAAATATTCTAGTAATATAAGCACCCCAAGAATTTCACCGTATTATCATTGCCTGGTAATACAGGTCTGTCAGTCCGTCATTATCTTTTCTTTTTTAAAGATTTCTCCCAAAGAAACATACGGCACACAGTCAACAATTAATTCAAATTTATAGACCAAGTTTCAAGGTCATGTGGATTAAGTGTATTAAATACGTCCGACAACTTCATCTACATTACTGTGAAGCAGAGAGTCATGGATGTTTTACTGTAGATTCTTTGTGAAAAGTGAAGCATCCCCTTCGGAACTATGATGACTATACTCATGCTATTTATTTGGTAGCTTGCTAGAGATTATAGTTATGAAGCTTGTGGAATCATTAATCGACGACCCTCTTGACCAACTTACAAATGACTATCAATTCTATTCAAATAAAAGACATGTATTACTTTCTAGGCGGTATAGTTTAAATATGTTAAACGTTTAAACAAAGTAAAACATCCTCTATGGAACTCCGATGACTATGCTCATGGTATTTGCCTAGTACATGTAGCTTGCGGGAGATGATAGTTATGTAGTTTGTGGAGTCGTTAATTGGTGACCGGCTTGACCAACTTACAAAGTCACAGACGTCAAATGTGTGAAAACTTCACATATATCTTCTAGACTGCTTTACAGGGAGTCGTCAAAGTATCTTACATACTATGTCCAAATAACCGACATTCAACTGCATGTATTTTATAAGTACTTTACACACTTCTATACATTGATTCTATTTGATAGAAAAAATATATGTTTAAATATCCGTACCCTATTACTTCTTCTACTTCTTCTAAATGGTACTGACCAACTTCAACAATTTGAAGATAAAATGTCAGACGAGGAGTGAAACATGGAAAGAGATTGTTTTTAAAAGATACGAGATGGTCTAATTTGCGTTTGAAAGGTGACGGTAGAGGGCTGATTTGAATAATTCCGTTGTGCTAGTACTTTTATCAATATACCGTTTGTGGTAACATTATTGTATTAAGCTGTATTTCACTTTCTGAGTTTGTGAAACAATCACAACTTGCATTCAGTGATAATCTGGTAATACTGGTTCTGCTTTCATTACAGGAGATGATTCTCATCCTATTCTGTATTATGTGGAGGGCGTGTCATACCTTTTTCTAGAGTGAATTCGGACATTTCCGGTTTGCCATCTCCAGTGTGGTTGATGACACTTTCCGTTCCCCCGATGTGCGATGTCCCATTAGAAATGCTTGTCCATTTGTCACCGGTGTCCGACATTTTGTTCTGGTGTTGCGGACCGTTGGACATCGCCCTGCACTCTCGTTCGTGATTCCCTGGTCACGGGACGCGGCACTAGTGTGAGTAGTACTCTTAGTCCATAATAAAGCTGACGGGCGTTACGGGTCCCCGTCCTGTATAGCAGCTGTACACAAAATTATCATCAAGATCCTCTTGAGTAATGTATTTGCATGTTATTAAGTTGTATGATGTTGGATTTTATCCTGAGAGCTTTGACATAGTATACGGGTTCACGCGTATATAGACAATTACACACAACATACATATATATATATACACATCTAACTGGGAACATGAAGTTCAATTACTTGTCGTATCAGCCTGCTCGCTCGAGCAGAACATTTAAAGTTTTACTTTTGGATAAGCGATAGTGTCCGAAATAACAGCGCTACCCAATATAGGTAATGTCATCCGTTGCCTCACAATTATCTTTTATTCTCGAATAGTTTCAGGTTCCTTCTATGTGCTGTTGCACGTAAGAGCAGTACGGCTTGGTGATTTAGTTACTTGTATTTTCTTGTTACTTGGAATTTTGACTTATTAAATGGAAATTCAACAGGGTACTAAATGGATATTTCGAGAAATAAACTCGAGCTATACAGGTGTATATTTTATTGCGTTATTCATGACAGAAATACTTAAGTAGGTATGCTACCTTCCTCCGACATGTATAGACACAACTCCTCCCGAAGTACTTCTACACATACAGAAGAGATCTTTTGTGAATTGTGATTTTAACATTCTTAGTAAATTGGCGAGGTTGGTTTGTTTGTTTTAGGAAAACACATGCACCCTACGTTTATACAAAATTGCATTCCTTTGACAAAGGATAATCTAAACATATTTGGTTAAAATCTCTCTATTCGTTCAAAAGGAGAAGGATATTAAAGTTTTACCTAAATCCCTCCCCCGCCCCCCTTACCGGCCCCGTCCTTTTACCCCGAGGGGCTACATACTCCATTTAAACAAAATTGAGACACTTTCTCCAAGATGCTCTACACAACAAATCCTCCCGTTCATGTAGAAGAAGATGTATCCTTATGTTTTTCCTAATTGGATAAAGTAAGCTAAACACAGGGAAGATGGGGGCGGGGCGATTTGACCGAGTAGTAAGATGTCTGACCATGTATGATCAGTAGCCCACCACCTTTGTCCTCTGATTCACAAACAGGTATGGCGGAAAACTGCCCGTATTTCCCTAAGTCGGCATTTTTGAAAACGGAAAAGAATATTGATGAGTAAATAATCTTTAGTAGCAAAAATGCATGGAATAGATATAAAACCAATTGAATATGAATTTTTGAACTGTTGAGATATTCGGTAATGTTGATATAATACTGCAAATATAGCCATATTCACTATATCTATGAAAGTGAAGGGGTTTCCCAGACTTAAAAAAATACTTTCAATTCTTTCCCATCCGAGGACCAACTTTTGAACAAACATTTTGATTCCGTGATGTAATATGCAAAAACAAATGGTATGACTGAAAAGAGGTCCTCCTTTGGGAAAGTGCTCAAAATAATGAAAAACTGGAATGATCAAGTTTTTAAAACTGCCACAGATGTTTCTTGGGTTAAAGCAGTTTGTGTTTCCCTTTTTGTCTATGTCCGATGTAGCCTAATGTATAACGCAGTTAGCTTGTGACCAGAAAATGTGAACAGTGTAGGTTCGAGTCCACATTCAGATTCACTTTTTTGTTTGTTTTACTTTTGTTTAATATTTAGGCATGTGATCATTTTCCTTAATCATGTGATAAATATTTTTCAAATCAATAGAACATTGTATTGATATTTTAATAACATACCTATTGATTTATCTTCTATGGAATCATGTCAACAAATCCCTGTATGCGTGTACAGTACAGCTACGACATCATTTTAAATGATATTTATGAATTGTTTTACCGTCCAATTGGCACTAGTATTTTTATTTATTATCTTAACGCAAACAAACGATGCCGAAATACAAAATATATGGGATTGCCGATTGGTACAAAGCAAAAAAAATGAAGTGTTATTATCGAAAAGATAATACCGAACATGCGGGAAAATTCATCGTCGAGGCCAGTCTCATTTGTTTTAAATGCAGGAAGACTGCAGCACAAAGTTAGGAGCGCAATACACGTGTAAGACAAGCTATTCGAAAACTATATGTCATTTTGTCATTCCGAGTTAAAAAAAAAATCAAAAAAATCAAGATGTGTGTTTTTAAAAAAAACAAGTAACAGCATGACGTAGCAGTAGTAATGAAAACTAAATGTACGAGCTTGTGTTTTATACAGCATAACGCGAAATACGCATGTATTAGTAGCCATGGCCTTGAATTCGTCTGTTTACAATAATCTATTCTTAGACACGGGATTCCGATCGAGCTACCTGTATAGAAATACCTGAGGACGCGTCATAACAGTGCACGATTGGAAGCGCGCACTATAGCGGATCATCGCTTTGGGGAAATAGGCATAGCAACCCGCCATAGCTCTTTTTGTCCGGCCTGTAGATAAAACAAGTACTCGACTTAATTTTATTTCATCTTGCAATAAATCATAAACCGCATAAACCATTAATTTCATCTTTTGATATGTTATGCAGACTAACCCTCCCCCTTTGTCTTTATCAACCCCTTTTTCCCAGGGAAAAGATGTCAAAGGTCAACTTTCGGGTTATCCGTAGATGTCAATATCAAATATGCTGTTTTGGGAAGTAAATAAATCCAGGTTCTTGATTATTGACCTGTAACATGCTGAGATTTATAGATTATCGCGAGCACATGGATAAAATCGAGAGGCCTCCGCAGGGGGACTCGAGATGTTATCTACTTGCGAGCGATGAGAAAAAATTTTCGAGCGACAAACACTGAAAATACTGTATGATAAACTATTTATCACTTATATACTACTTCCTCATATATTTCTCCATTTAAAAAAGTCAACTAAACACCATGTTTTCCAAATGATTTCTAAGCTCAATGGTCAACGACCGCCTGTGACAAATGTAAACAAATAGAAGTTGTGCGCGGAGAAATACAATTAACCTTAAAACTACACAGAACACTTATTTTTAAAACAATCCTGCCGTCATTGGCTTTTTCATATGTACATTTGCACCTGAAATGGTGTTGTTATTATGACAAAAATATTCCGTTACTTTGTATTGATATGTTTATGACGAGCTTTTTTCTTACGCGGATCACTTTTGTTTGGACCCTATTTCCGGTTCCGGACGTCATCTGGCGCGAGCAGAAATTCTTTTTGGAGAAGATACGTTCCCAAGGGCTTGGGAATGGGAAATCCGTTCTCAAGTTCTTCTCATGTTGTTCTCAAGTCGTTCTCAACTTCTTCTCATACTGACAACCAATGATAATGAATTTATCATGCTACCGGTAGGTGGTAATAGTAGATGTAAAATGCCGCTCTTAAGCCGACATTTTTCGTGTGGCATCGTGTGGTATTTTTGTATGTAACCTTGAATAGTTTCGTGTGGTATCGTAGGGTTCATATTTCGTGTGGTATCGTGGGGCTCATATTTCGTGTGGCATCGTGTGGTATTTTGTATATAACCTTGAATAGTTTCGTGTGGTATCGTGGGACTCATATTTCGTTTGTTAACGTGGGGCTCATATTTCGTGTGGTATCGTGGATCACATGTTTCGTATGGCATCGTGTGGTATATTGTATATAAATAGGAGTGACAGTGTTACAATGAAGCTTGACTAGTAGCGGAAACATAGTACAATTGAGACACCGCGTGAATCTTACAAGCTGTTACCTTAGAGGCGTGCATATAAAAATGAACCTATAACAATGTAGAACTGAAACCTGTAACCCCCCTCATACCGATACATATAGTTTATATACTAATGTCCATGTCATTATGGTATTTTGAAGTAGGGCGACTCTTTTACATACTAGTATTTAATTAAGTGAAACAACATATACACGACCGAAGTTATATAATCATCATATTTGATAGGAAATTGTTGAAAATGGATAATTTCAGCTGTGAACAGTTTTTTGTTAAAATGAAAGGTGCTATCTGTGTAACAATGGAAACAGAAGCTGCACAATTGGCCATGATCTCCATTCATAGTAACATAGAATATATTTTTTTTAATAGAAGTTATAGAAAGAAATTTAAGCGAAGAGAATTCGAAATTTGGAATGCCATTGATTGGAGTGACCTTATTGGAACCTAAATATATGTCCATCCAACAGGAAGGTGTCATATTAAATATCTGTTGCGACTATGAGAATAAGACAAAAACGACAAAGGTCAGAGTGCAGTTGTATGAAGAAGTCAGGGAAGTGATGAGATATGCCAGTTCATTTATCCTTGAACTGAACAACGAAATAATAAATGTGCCATCCATCGACAAGACACTGGTGTTCGCACACAACTAAGGTAATAGTAAGTTCCTCTACCTCAACTATCACCTATTGAAATACAATTGATACAACACTCAAATCTCGTAAATTTTTACCACAGGGATGACAATGTTACAATAGACATATAACAATATAGAACTTAAAACTTGTATCGCCCCTGGTTTACCCTTCATTCGAGCACATTAATTTACCGGCTTAAAATAAGTTTGACTACCTCTAAAAATGACGACCAACAAGTTATTCTGGGCAGAAGAATGTGATATCTGTACATATTTAAAGTATAACAGTAATATTATTAATTGTTCTGCTTGCAAAAAGGACCTGTGCTATGATTGCTACTTCAGTTTGAGATGCCCTGAGCGTCCCCGCGAATATATATATGTCCGAAGAAATGGCGACGGAGGCCAAAAATAACTTCAATGCTATATTTTATCTCGTCAACGGCTTCCGCTTTTTTGAACAGTATTTTTTAGTCAGTGACGAAGGGCAAAATATATGAGTATATGGAATTGGGGGATTTTTAGGAACGCTGGCAGATGTATGATCAAGCATTTGCTTGGAGTTACATTAATGATCAGATGTCAACATTAGCTCTCATAGGTAAGATGTAACAAGGTAAGCCAATACCATGTCTTTGTATTTAAGAGAGACTGCACATAATAACCGTCATAAAAGCTTTTGTTTGCCACATTATAGAGCTCCGTCAAAGAGTAATAAGATATTTGAATGACCACACCAACAATTCAGATATAAGAAACATTTACTTTTGACCGTCTATTGGTTTGCTGATGAGCATAGCAAAG